TCGTGCAAAAGTTCATTTATTTCAGTAATGCAACTTAAAAGGTGAAACTAATATATGAGATAGACTCATTACATGCAAAGCGAGATAGTTCAAGCCTTGATTTGTCATACTTTTGATGATTATGGCTTACAGCTCATGAAAACCCCAAATTCACAATCTCAGAAAATTAGAATATTGGGAAAAGGTTCAATATTCTAGGCTCAAAGTGTCCCACTCTAATCAGCTAAGTAAGCCATAACACCTGCAAAGGGTTCCTGAGCCTTTAAATGGTCTCTCAGTCTGGGTTCAGTAGGAATCACAATCATGGGAAAGACTGCTGACCTGACAGTTGTGCAGAAAACCATCATTGACACCCTCCATAAGGAGGGAAAGCCTCAAAAGGTAATTGCAAAAGAAGTTGGATGTTCCCAAAGTGCTGTATCAAAGCACAATAATAGAAAGTTATGTGGAAGGGAAAAGTGTGGAAGAAAAAGGTGCACAAGCAGCAGGGATGACCGCAGCCTGGAGAGGATTGTCAGGAAAAGGCCATTCAAAAGTGTTGGGGACTTTCACAAGGAGAGGACTGAGGCTGGAGTCAGATCCTGGATATGGGCTTCAAATGTCGTATTCCTCTTGTCAAGCCGCTCCTGAACAACAAACAACGTCAGAAGCGTCTTACCTGGGCTAAAGAAAAAAAAACTGGTCTGTTGCTCAGTGGTCCAAAGTCCTGTTTTCTGATGAGAGCAACTTTTGCATCTCATTTGGAAACCAAGGACCCAGAGTCTGGAGGAAGAATGGAGAGATACACACTTCAAGATGCTTGAAGTCCAGTGTGAAGTTTCCACAGTCTGTGTTGATTTGGGGAGCCATGTCATCTGCTGGTGTTGGTCCATTGTGCTTCATTAAGTCCAGGTTCAACGCAGCCGTCTACCAGGAGATTTTGGAGCACTTCATACTTCCTTCTGCAAACGAGCTTTATGGGGATGCTGACTTCATTTTCCAGCAGGACTTGGCACCTGCCCACACTGCCAAAAGTACCAAAACCTGGTTCAATGACCATGGGATTACTGTGCTTGATTGGCCAGCAAACTTGCCTGACCTGAACCCCATAGAGAATCTATGGGGCATTGCCAAGAGAAAGATGAGAGACATGAGACCGAACAATGCAGAAGAGCTGAAGGCCGCTATTGAAGGATCCTGGTCTTCCATAACACCTCAGCTGTGCCCCAGGCTGATAGCATCCATGCCACACCACATTGAGCAGTAATTGATGCAAAAGGGACCCAAACCAAGTACTGAGTACATATGCATGCTTATACTTTTCAGAGGTCCGATATTGTTTTATGTACAATCCTTGTTTTATGGTTTCATGTAATATTCTAATTTTTTGAGATTGTGAATTTGGGGTTTTCATGAGCTGTAAGCCATAATCATCAAAAGTACGACAAATCAAGGCTTGAACTATCTCGCTTTGCATGTAATCTCATATATTACATGATTACATGAGGTTATATGAAACTAATATATGAGATCTCATCTATCTCATATATTAGTTTCACCTTTTAAGTTGCCTTACTGAAATAAATGAACTTTTGATATTCTAATTTTTCAAGTTTCACCTGTATGTTTATTGAAATTAGTTTCCTTTCTTCCATGTTTATATTTTATATGTAGGTTTTGTTGCTCTAGTTAATCTTACTTCACCTTGTACCTTGTATTTCACAATCCCACCTACAGTGCCTTCTGCTGATTCAATCATTGCCAACTCCTCTTCTCTGAATTCTACTGGCACTACTATAGCTTGGGTTTCCGTTTCCATTTCAACTTCTTTTTCTTTAAGAAATTCTTCATGGAAGGCTCTCGATTTGTCAATTGTATCTAGCCTGTATCTTCGAAGTTGCCACGTTAAGATTAACCCTTCTGGTATCAACCATCTGTAGTTGATTCCTTTTTGAATTAATACTTTAGTCAAAAAGGGAGCCTGGATAGCTCAGCAGACTAATGCATTGTAATTTAACTCCAGCTGTCTGCAATTAGTAAGTTCGAATCTTGCCAGGCTCAAGGTTGACTCAGCCTTCCATCCTTTCTAAGGTAGGTAAATTGAGGACCCAGTTTGTGGGGGCAATAAGCTAACTTCGTAAAAAAATATACAAAAGTATGAAGGCTATTGCTTAACGCATTGTAAGCCGCCCTGAGTCTCCGGAGAAGGGTGGCATATAAATCAATTTTTTTAAAAAAAATTGGTATTCTCTCCTCATCTCTCTTACTTTTCTTGGTATTTGTTTCAAGACCACCACTTCTTTCTCCTTGTATTTCAAGTTTTTTTCTCTAGCCATCTGGAGAATTTGTGCTTTGATCGATTTCTTGGTAAATCTTATATGTACTTCTTGTGGCAACTTATTACGCACTGCATATCTAGTGTTGAGGGTCAAAATCCCCTCTACAACACATCACCTTGATGGATGCAATTGAAGACCATGAAGGGGGAGGAATATCACCTGAGGATCCGGAGAATATTGATGGATTCCAGCAACAAAACACGGTGGAGGGGGGTGTTGCGTTAGGACACCATGTACACTAATAGTGGGTGATGGACGGAAGGCAAGAAGAAGGGGGGTGGAATGGGAACGTACATCAGCGGCTGAAGAGATAATAGTGCAGAGGGAAATGACTGCCTGCAGCGAGCATGAATGGAACAAGTGGCAGATTTGATTGTGACAGCTGTGAGAAATCATTGCCTGCCTAATGATAGTTAACTGTATCCACGCCCTATAAAACAGTACGGGTGGAGAGCTAGGGCATCTCTGACTTTGTTTTGCTTAGCAGCTCAGTCTCTACTGTATGCTGCTGTGTTGCCTCCATTAAACCGGGTTTTGGAATGAATCCTCCTTTTCGTGTGTGCATGTTCGTTTGTGCCTGGTGAAGCTAGTGAAAGCCAACTCCAAAAGTTCCCACGGTTTCCCCCCTAATTAAAAGAGCAAATCTTTTCCTCCTCCTTTTTTTTTTACTTTTAAAAGCATTTTGTCGGCCAAAGAGGTTATAGAAAAAAATGCTTTTAAAAGTAAAAAAATGCCTCTGATGATTGTGCGGCTCAGCTGGCCATGGGGGGGGAAGCAGGGATTTTTGCTACCGGCTCTCCAAACCACCTGCCTCCATCCCTACCGGATCAAATGATCCGGTCCAAACCGGGAGCATTTCACCCCTGCATTATTCTATACTATCCTGTTTTCCCCAAAATAAGACATCCCCTGATAATAAGCCCAATCAAGCTTTTGAGCACATGGCAATAAGGCCAAGCGCTTATTTCAGGGTTCAAAAAAATATAAGACAAGGTCTTATTTTCAGGAAAACATGGTATGTTTTAAGGCAGGCCAACTTTTCCTCTGGGGGTGAGACCATCTTTTCTGCTGTTGCCTATTAGGTATGACTTGGTGCAATAAATCTTTAAGCCCAACAGAAGCAAGGCCAGTGGGTTTTTTTTTTTAGAATCCTGTCAACCAGCCTTTCTCAGACTTCCTGCTGCTTTTCTCTCACCCCACCCACACCCCAGAGAAGCATGCTTCTCAAGGCTCCCTCCCTCCCGTCTTTGTAAGGGAAGCTGCATACAAAGGACCAGCCATTTTGTGGACCTCTGGCTGACATCCAGTTATCTCTAGAATGGTAGCAGCAGAGCAGTGGATGGCTTGTTGTGGCGTGCAGTTTGGGTGCTTGCCAGGTTGTGCTTCCCATCTTGGGAGGCAGGAAGGCACCTGCTAGGGCAAGCCAATCCTAATTATGAGCTTTGCTACTCCACTGTGCCTTGAGCAGAGAATGGGACAATGATTCTTCTGGTTTGGGGGAAGTGACTCTTTTGTCCCAGCTTGATCCAAACTGTCTCATGATAGTGATTCTCCTCAACATGAGTTGTCCGCATCCTTGCATCCCATCAGCTGGAACATTAGGGGGTGATATTTCTTCTGGTGTTACCACATTTGGTTGATTGGGATGACTTGTTCCATGCCAAACCAGCTGTGCTCATCCAGTTGTGCCTACCTATTTGCACCGACCCGGCTGCACTGAGTCATCCTTGCCGTATTATTCATGCTGACTTGACTGTGCCCAGCCAGCCATATCCTACCTGGTCAGTGGTGGGATTCAAATTTTTTTACTACCGGTTCTGTGGGTGTGGCTTAGTGGGCGTGGCATGGCTTGGTGGACGTGGCATGGCGGGCATGGCAGAGGAAGGATACTGTAAAATCTCCATTCCCTCCCCACTCCAGGGGAAGGTTATTGCAAAATCCCCATTTCCTTCCAATCAGCTGGGACTCGGGAGGCAGAGAATAGCAGGTCCCAGTCAGAGGTGGTATTTACTGGTTTTCCAAACTACTCAAAATTTCCACTACCGGTTCTCCAGAACTGATCAGAACCTGCTAAATACCACTTCTGCACCTGGTTATGGTGAGTCATCCCATTCCAATTTTTAAAATTTGATTAATTTTGGAGGTTCCTTAATATTATTTCAATGTATCAAATATGCATAACTGAAATCACAGTTCAATATAATTTAAATTTAGAAATTCAATTCCTTACTTAACTATCTGAAAATAGATATTTTGCCTATTCTGATAGTGAACAAAGTCAATGAGTTCAATATAGTACATTGAATTTAATGTAGGAATCACTTGTACCTTAATCTTAAATGGGAACCTTATACAGGTTATATTTTGTCCAATTATTGCATACACATTATATAAAAAGACATTTTAAAGTATGCATGAGATTAATCTGACAAATAAATTGAAAATGTTGGGTAATGATCAAATTTTTATCATCAATCTATATACAGTGTAGAGACAACAAATGAGTTTAATGATATCACAGCAAATTCTGTATTCAAAATACTGATCAAATGATGAAAATCTGAGCAAGCAGCTTGTCAAATTGCTTGCAGAAAAATAAAAAGATTGTTACAACCATCAAAAATAGAAATAAGCTATACATTTCTTTTAAAAGTTCCATTTTTAAAAAAGAAATTACTCAAATTTTGGATAAAACTTAACATTTATTTGATGGATAAATGTTTTAAAGCTATAATTGTATTTTCAATGACAATTCACTATGAAGAGTTAAAAAAGTGATATTTATTAAGTAATGATAAAGCATCAAGTCTGGATAGATTTCCTGTAGAATGGCATAACACCGATATACTTACTTCTAAGTTTTATCAGTTACATAGTTGACATTTCTGAAAGAGGTATTTTTATCATCTTAATTTAATGAAGCATATATTACAGTTATAAAAAACTTGGTTAAAGTTGTGTGCTCTCATCCCTTTTATTTATTAATGCAGAAATTAAATTAAAATCTTTAAGCTTAATTTCTTCTATACAGGCAGCAAGTATTATAAATTACTAGTTTTTAACTAATCATGAGGTTTTATGTGTATAAATTTGCTGTTTCTTTAAAAGGATTGTAGAAAGAATCCCATGTATTATGTGACAAAATGAATGAATGTGATGAAAATGAAACAAATGGGATTTGGAGATTTTAGATTAAGGGGCCACATTATCAAATGGTTTCTGAAACTAATTTATTCAGTAACCATTTGTTTACTGCCAGTTTAATCCAGCTAAACCCCAAATTTTCATTCCTAGTATTGGCTCAATATAATTTAGAGATGTTTATAAAGGCATTAAGTCTCTTCTTTTCCTACTGAGCATCACTCAATAATCTTTAGGAGTGTGCTCATGACATCATGCAGGAGGAAAGAAGGAAGATCTTACATCGTGTGAAAAGAATATATTTATTTTGAAAACTCATGATGTTCAATTTAATGGGGCATCATTTCCCTGGACTATACATTGGTAAGTATTCACTGATATTTGCTAATGAATGCCTGCGTCAAATAAACAGTTATTCAATGCAAGGTTATAAAATGCACAACTAGTAAATTTCAGTGAATTTGAAAACTCTGATTTCTGTGAAGCAATAAATTTAGATTTATAAAAGATGACTGAGCTAATAGCTAATTTATGAATCTGAGGTAACACAAATTAACATTAAGTTTCCAATATAGTATGAAGGTAACAACTGTAGCATATGTTGTTGTGCAGGAAATAAAAATGAACAGGTTTCTATTTAAGACTACAAAACAGTTCTAACTGGTAAACACTTGTTTTTATGTTGATCTGTTTTCAGACAAAAAGAAAGAGAGCACATTTCAATGCATATTTAAAAGCTGCTAGCACAGTAGTGGCTCGAATAAAAGGTTTTTTGTTTCAATAACAGCTATAATAGTTTTAAAAAAATATTTTATGACATTCAACAGATAATTTTAATACCTACAAGACTTAATATATATACATACGTATGTAGGAAAAGTGTTAGTACACGATAAAAGAACAATATCACAATTAGAAAATTAATTCTTCTTCTCAGGCAGTTACAATATTGTTCCTTTTGCTCTCCAGTCTTGAGACAGCAAGTCCTGCAATTCACCTTCATCGTTACTATCAATATCATCTTCTTTAGTCTGTGTGACTGTTTGACTCATGGCTTCCTTTAATTTATCTTTTCTTATTTCCTGGCGGTCACGCAGTTGTTCAACACGACGGAAACATTCTCTAAGGTAAAATAAAATAAACAGTTTGCCCTCTTTTTCTGATTAAGTGAAAAGGTAAAAACATATACATTCACGGAATGCAACTTCATGTAAAGAGCATTTTATTAAAACCCTTATATAATTGCAGTGGAGCCAGTTAATTACTGTTTTTTTTCTGGCTTGGATTTAGAAACTACATTTTCATTACAGAAATACAGACTGGCTAAGGAACACAGCAGATAAAAAGCATCAATTTGGCATAAGCAATATGCTGAAAATGTAAAAAACAAACAAAAAACCCACCTTTATTCTACATGTTTTGTTTCCAAAATATAATTTTTCAGAAAATTTGTTACCTAACAGTTGCATAGGTCATAGGCTAAGAAGCATCCATGCAGTCTGTGACTGCTTTTTCTCTGTTCTAATTTGAATAAAAGACAGGAATTTCTATATTGCTCCTTTAATTATTTTGAAAACAATTAAAATTAGTTCAGAATTTTCTCTTGAACTGCAGCCAAAAAATTACAAATATACTATTACAATATGTTGCTCTCTATTTCTATGTGATCTATCTGAACTTCTTTCCAATTGCAATAGAAGACACTTGCTTAACAGCTGGAGGTAATTAGATTTCAATATCTGGCTTTTAAGTCCTGGGTCAACCTAATATGGAATGTAAAAGAAAAAGGCCAGGCAATAGGGGATTTGACCATATTGATCAAGGAAGAACTCAAAGGAATAGGGAACAGAAGTGATCTTAGGTGCCTCTTCACTTTTTCTAGCTATTATACAGTATTCCAGTTTAAGGCCTCTATAAACTTGATGTTAAATATACCTCCACAAATGTCTATGTATTATTTCCCTGATATATAGGGCAATTTAGCACAAAGCTTGATAGCTAAATTCAGAACCAATATGCATATGTTTAAAGTTAAAAGCAAACTTGTAAACATTCTGGTTTATGCATATGACATGGTACTGATATCAAAGCCAGATAGAATGAGAAGATTGTTAATTCATGTTATGCACTCAATTACTGAACATCAATAAGTCCAAAAGCAAAGGAGTTGAGAAAAGGTAGACTATGTATAATTGAAGTCTGGATAGGGAAACATAATGATAAATGGGAGGGGACCTCAGTGCTAGATTGAGTCCCAACAACCATTTAATAAATAAATTAAAAATCTCCAGTGATGGAGCACATACAACTTCTGGATGCAAACTGTACCATTGATTAACTGTTCTCCCTTTTAGGAAGTTCTAGGTTGGATTTTTACTTAATAAATTTCCATCTGTTACTTTTGTCTTGCTTTGGAGAATAGATTGATCCCTCTCTTCTCTGTGATAGCCCCTCAAACATTGGAAGACTGCTATCATGTCTCCCCTAGTCCTTCTCTTCATTAGACCAGACATACCAAGTTCCTGAAACCATTCATCATTTTAGGCTCCAGCCCCCTAATCATCTTCGTTGCTCTTCTCTGCACTCTTTCTAAAGTCTCAACATCTTTTTTGTATTGTGCTGACTAAAACTGGCTATACTATTTCAAGTATAGTCTTACCAAAGTAATATAAAAAATTATTTAAGTAGTTTTTAAGAAACTCTGTTCATAAATAGCATTTGAAGACAAAATCTGAGCTACATACATTTGTTCATCGATTTCTCCAATTTGACGGTCAAGTCGCCCTTCTTCATCTTCTTCAGCCACTATTGCTTCTGAAATCTAACTCAGAATTAAAAAATATATAGAAATTTTAGGCTCAATTTTCTGGGGGTATTTCTCTGACTTTCATGGAACATAGAGAAATACAACAATGTAAAGTTTCCTTTCTTTTTACTGTAAGTAAAACTCTGGAATTGCCAGTCCATACACATTTCCCCTGGCAGCAAAATCTTCCCTCCTAAGTCTTAACTCTTGAAAGAGTTAAGCAAAAAGAAAACAGGGATTCCCCCCTCCCCCATAAAAGAGGAGAGAAATGTCCCAAGTGCCAGTGGGAAAATACTTTAAAAAGTCAATATGTTTCAGAATTTCCTTTGACGTGGAGACAATAAAAGAAAGAGATAAAAGCAATTTATCAATTGAAAACCATTTAGGTAACATGGTATATTATTATTATTAAGTTCAACGGATTGGACTAATTTAGCATCTTCATAAAGGAATGTTTGATCTGGACTTAGAGCCATCAGAAAAGAAAATCAGAATTCCTAAGATGTATGATGGATATTGTATATGGGACTACCCTTCCAATTCCTGCCTTGTCCACTCCTCTACCACGTAAACTGCATTGAGACTGGCAGATAAGATCCCTTCTTAAGTTTCATTTTTGTATCTGCATTAATTTCAAAACAGGGAATACTAACTTACTGTATTGATTTGTCTCATAGCTTTCTGGAATTCGTCCCATTCTTTGTCCATCTGATCCTTTGGAGTGTCAACCTTGCGTACCTAGAACACACATACACATACAAGGCAAAATTGAAATTCAACAAGTATTATTATCTTTGTCACATGTATTTTTTCAGTGGCAGACTTTCCTTTTTCCTCAAATTTGCCCAATAATGATTATCCTAACTCTTTTCCTCCATGCATTAAGTTTCACTGAGAATTCCTTCTTTTCCCACTTCAGTGGCAGACTTACTTTTTTTGCATGCAGGAAGGCCAAAGGTCAATTCTACTATATACTGTACGGCCAGCAAAAAATGGGGGAAGAGGGAATAAGCACCAAAGAAAGATTTACATTTCCAGAAATATACTCTCACACCAACAAGTTTTTAACAGGTACCCAACATGCAAAAATTTAATAGGCAGAATATAAAATAACTGAAAAGGCCAATAATACTGACAATTTGATTACAACCAAAGATGCATTCTCAATACATACATACACACTGCGCTATATATCACGTGTACACATACACAAACACACACCTTGTCCTATATATCGTGTACACAAACACACATTATTTTTTCTTATTTTACTAATTCTTATCAACAACTAAAATGCCTATTGTTTCAAATCTATGACATGTTACAGGCAAAGGACAGCGTGCTTATCAAGCTCAACTCAATAATTCACAGCTACTGGGGGTAATCTGACTTAAGATCATGTATAGCAAATCTGCCGATGGCAAAGGAAAGTCTGTTTAGTAAGGGACATATTAGAAGAAACAGGCTAGATGTTCAAAATGTTAACATAGAAACTAATCTCTAGTAGTTTCTTGCTTGCTTAGTTTAAATATCAAGCAATATTGATTACATGATCTGTCAGCATTCTGGCATCACAAAAATTTGATGGGCCAAATCTTGTGCACTATATTTGTCCTTATTATGCATCCATTTAAAATATCAGTAAATTGTATATTTGCAAGATCTGATTAAATCTTGAATACACTGATTACTTGATTGGTTGGTTGATTGATTGAAAGGAAGAATAGCATGTAAATAGCACATTAAGGTTAATAAACAGAGAAGAAAGTAATGGAATTGGTTTTGTATGCTAGGCAGAAGAAGAAATTATATTTTAATTAGTATTGTAAATATTGTAATGTGATCAATTTATTTTTGTATAATGCAATAACAATATGTGGATAATTTATTGCATTTATCTATTATTTCTACAATATAGCCTAAGGCCGTGGTGCCGAATCTATGGCATGTGTGCAAGAGGTGACATGCAGAGCCCTTTTTGTGGGCATGCGCACTGTCACCCCAGCCCAGCTCCATTCTCTGTTGCGTTTCCCGCCACCATTTGCAGGGAAACAATACTTTGTGAGATTAAAAAAAAATTCACTCAACCAATTCCAACTTCTTGCAAAAGAAAAAGATCTTGTAAAGTTGGGATTGATTGAGTAAACTTTTTCACTCAATCAAAGGTCCCATCCTCCTGAAGCCCATTATGACACGGAGCCACAATGCGACTCTGCGTCATCTTGGCTCGGGGGAAAAAAGCAACTGACATCCGGGCTTATTGGGCTCCAGATGTCAGATTCCAATCACCAGTTCAAGGGTTCCTTCCCCTCCCGCAGGAGGGAGAGAGAGAGAGAAACAGAGGGAGGCAGAGAGAGAGAGAGAGAGAGAGAGGGAGGAAGGGAGGGAGGGAAAGAGAGAGAAAAGAGGCAGAGAGAGAGAGAGAGAGAGAGAGAGAGAGAGAGAGAGAGAGAGAGAGAGGGAGGGAAAGAGAGAAAGAGAGAAACAGGCAGGGGGGAGGGAAAGAGAGAGGGAAAGAGAGGGGAAAGAAAGAGGCAGAGAAAGAGAGAGGGGAAGAGAAAGAGGGAGGGAAAAAGGGAAACAGGCAGAGAGAGATGGAGGGAAAGAGAGAAAAACAGGCAGAGAGATAGGAAGGGAGGGAAAGAGAGAGAAACAGAGGCAGAGAGAGAGAAACAGGCAGGGGGGAGGGAAAGAGAGAGAGAAAGAGAGGCGCAGAAAGAGGCAGAGAAAGAGAAGGGGAGGGAAAAAGGGAAACAGGCAGAGAGAGATGGCAGGAAAGAGAGGGAGGTAAAGAGAGAAAAACAGAGGCAGAGAGGGAGGGAGGGAAAGAGAGAGAGAGAGAGAGAAACAGAGAGAGAAACAGAAGGAGGGAGGGAAAGAGAAATGATATTACAGAAGTTTTTCTTTTTTATTGTTGCTAAACTTAAATTTCAAAAGCAGAAAAAAATAAAGGGGCATAAAAGTGCATTTATCACGTTTTTCTTAGAACAATTAGCTCAGCTCTGCCTTGTTTATCATTATTTTAGATAGTAAAACCTCAGTATTCAGGTTAAATTGCCGTGTTGGCATTTGCAATAAATAACTGGGTTTTGGATTGCAGTTTGAGCACTCAGTCTGTAAAAGGTTCACCATCATTGAACTAGACTCTCTACACAGCACAAATCATCATCATCATCATCATCATTCTAACCATTGTCTATTCACTGCAGGGGCTTTTTCTGCATGTTTCCAACCAATACAATTGGAAACAAATATCCCTCCAAATCCTGAAGCTGATGGATTCCTCACCAACTATTCTCAAAAGATCAGAAATCAAACTTTATATATCTTTGCCTGGCTCAAACAGTCTTCATAAGACATAGAATAATAGGGTTGGAAGAGATCTTGGAAATCTTTTAGACCAGGTGTCAGCAAGCTATGGCTCCAGAGCCACATGTGGCTCCTTCATCTCTCTGCTGCAGCTCCCTGTTGTGACAGAGGGATGAAAGAGCTGTCGCCCTATCACGGTGGTGGCGATGGCCAGAGCCTTAGTGTGGGAGTGAAACACCCCTGCATTTGCCTTTATGCGGAAACAGCATTCCGCTTTTGTTGCAGTACATTTGCTGTTGCTGCCTCCATGGCCTGTATGCTGCTCTTGCAGCATCTTGCGCAGCACAGTGAAATTTAGTGTGCTTCACAATTGGGGAGATGGAGTCCCCTCCTCCTGGAGCTTATTATGACGCGGAGCCACAATGCAAACCTGCCCCACTCACCCCTGGCAACAGCAGAGGCGTCAGAGACTCGCTCTCACCTCCTGGATGTCAGTTGCTTTTCCTGTAGAGCCGCATCTGTTGTGATGCCCCACCTCCCCACCAGCAGTCTGCTCTCCAGCTGATCATTGGTGCACTGCTCCTGGGTTTGTTGGCCTCCAGACATCAGATTCCCACCACCCAGCACCAGTTCAGGGGTTCCTTCCCCCTCCAGGGAACAGAGGGAGAGAGACAGACAGACAGAGAAAGAGAGTGGGAAGGAGAGAGAGAGAGAGAGAGAGAGAGAGAGAGAGAGAGGGAGGCGAGAAAGAGAGACAAGAGAGAGACAGAGAGAGAAACAGATAGAGACAGACAG